TTCTTGTAAAATTCATTTATTACAAAATCCTTCACCAACCCTAACAAATTTTGGCAATTCAGTTCACCAGGAACATTATCGTTTAAAATCAAACAAGAGACAACGATTTACAAATTTGTGTGATCATGAAAACAAATAAGAACAAAGATTAAAAAAAAACAAAAAACTACAGGATACATTTGCTTCATAACACTAATTAGGATAGTGTAAAAGATAAAGATAATATTGAATACAAACCATAAATGTAACAAACAATAAATGTGATCTTTAAACTTAAATGAACTCGAACAAAAATGTGGATGAATTAATACCAATTGATTTCAAGTACTACCCTACAATTCTACCTTTTTCCTCTTCTTGTTTCCCTTTTTGGGTTTTTTGGCTGCTTCCGCTCCCTCACGTTCCTTCCTTCCCTGAAATGTTGAAATATGTCCATTAAAAAGATATCACAATAAATTCCCTGGCAAAGGATAAAAAAAAAAAACTACTCCCTATTTCCTGTTTCAAAGATCATCTCTGAAAAATCTAATGTCTTGAATTATGACACACAAAGGGAAGTAATGAAATCTTGGAAGTAGTAGCCTTGTATATAATTGTATGCAATCTCTTACTTCATAAGAATAAGATTTGCAAGATGAGAGAAAATCTCAATAAAACCACATTCCATCCTGTACACAGAGTAACAAACCCATCTTTTTAAATAGACTAATTTATTGAAATGTATATATTCAGGTTACTAAAGGTTTGATCTAGCAACTAAAACTGGCATCTATGAATATGCAAATCAATTCAAATCATTTTTGGAAACAAGTAAGACAAAAACAAATAGTGAAATACACCAGCTGCATCTGAAATAGTCCCCTGAGGCAAGTCTAGCCAGCATATTCCTACAGAAGAGGCACAGCAAAAACCAAAGGTTCCCAGATACATTCGGTTAAACAAATTACACCATTTTTTATAACCATATCTACAAATACAAGAGTACTTTCTTATATATATTCATACATAATTTCTATATAAATAAATATGCTATGATAATAGTGAGCCTGATTATACAATAACAGCCTGATGTTCACTTTTTAAATAATGGAAGAAAAACTTTGGAGTGTAACAAAACAAATAAATAAAAAATCCCTCTGTACATTTATATGGTTATCTAATGTTAAGATAACAGCTTATAAATTCAGATCAACAGAAAATGTAGAAAGACACAACGCATCAAAAACACAAAGTGGATTAAACATTAACTTCTTTAACATTTACACTATACTGCAACCTGAATCATAAATTATTTCTATACACTAACTTATCCAAAGAAAACCAATCAAACAGCATTTCTACATAACTAAAACAATATAACAGTAATGCTGCTAAAAAAAAAAAAAGTAACTAAAAACTCTAGCACAGTAAACACACATCAAGCAGGAGCCCTCAACATGAGATAGAAGACTTCCAAAATTGTTCTTATTATGAACGCTAAGAAAGCTACTGAATAGAGAAAGAACTATAATGGAAAGAACTGAGAGGAAATTAAATGGTATTATGGACATATTGTATGTAAAATCATGAGATTACAAAAGATGGCTTTCAAGTAATTGGAAAAAAAATTATGTGTTAAACATAACCAAGCACATATTTATTAAAGGAACTATTGCCTTATATAACTTCTAAAATCTAAAAAAAGGGCAGTGGGAAGGAAAGAGGATACTTTCTTTTTACATTACACTAAGCTTTGCATGAAGCTTAGCGTAGTATAAATTGTATAAAACAAATTTATATCAAGATAAAAAAAAAAAAAATCTAGACTACCAACTGTCAAACAACAAGAAGATAATATAAAGATTAATGTACAGTAGTAACAATTAAAGCAAATTAAAGACAAGATATTATCCAAGGTAGTTTCTGCCCAATGCCAACAGGTGTGTCCCACATCATTTGGGTCACACTCAAAAGCATGGGAAACATACAATTTCATTCACCCATCACAATATTTGCTCCACTGTATATATGATATTCCAGAATATGAGGCTAAAAAAGAAAAGAAAAGAAAAGAAATGAAAAGAAAAGAAAAAAAAAAAAAAACAGTAAAGACCACTGAATTAAGAAAATAATGAGCTAACCAAAATAGTGCAAGTTATTACAAACTATAGGAGTACAAACTGTTAACCAAGGCAGAAAATAGAGGGATTCAAGGTCATTTTGAGTTAGCTAACCTGTGGTATGCATACATGACTGAGGAAACTACGAAATGACTGTTAGAGCAACTCAGGTTAATTCTTGGGAGGAATAAGGGCATAAGCACCAAAATGTAAACTAATCAAATAGGTAATTAGTGCCAGGTACACCTATATGGATTTTAGTTTATTGCAGTCTTGCATATGGCATTTGATAAAGACAATGCACATGAAAAATTAAGTGAGATTTTTCTTTGAAAATTTAAATTTTGTTTATATTTACACATGAAATATACTTTACATTAAGCCTCTCTGGTAATATCCTGTAGCTTATAAAGGGGTCTGTCCTTAGACTGACTATGAAGTACTGATGTATAAAATAAAGGTAAAAATTATGATAATAACATTTTGGTTTGGCTTGCTCTAACAGTCAGTACCGTCCAATCTCTACAAATTGGTTTTGATTTGAAATTGGTAGTTTCTGTTGTAAAGAGCACTTTAATATGGAAAAATAAGCAAGATGTAGATTATTTAATGGTGAAGATGATAATGCACAATGATAACCGCTCTAAAGTAATATTCATATGGAATTTTGAAAATCAGTTTTAAGCATGGTCTTCATAAATAGTTGTAACAGTTATTGTACCTTTTTCATGTGTTTCTGCTAAAAAATGCAATCATAGGCCCAAGTATCTGATGAATTTTATTTAATTATTTGCAGAGAAAATATGAGCAAATGACTGAACACCAACTATATGCTAGTTATTCATAGCCTATCATCAAAGAAAACAATTTTGAACTATAACTTACCAAATAATTTTTCTTTTACATAAAAATGGGTTTAGTCTTATTACAATAGGATGATTCAAATAGTTACCTGTATGTGCATAAGTTCACATACACATAAAACCTCCTCGAAAATTTTAACCAACCCGTGACCAGTGAAACGTAAACAGCACACAGGAACAGACTCAAATCACAGAAGTTCCTACCTCAGGAGTGAAGTGTCCATGGTAGACCTTGTTCTCTATCGAGCACTCCTTGAATTCCTCTTGCTCGACCAGGAAGTCCTTTGCGTCCCATGCCTGAGCACCATCCTTAAACATGAAGATTGCTCTTCTCTGGTCAACCATGTACCTGGAAGAACATGATTGCAAACCTTATGAAACAAATCGACAAAGATGGTTACTGTATTAAATTTGGCAGTAGTAGTAATAAAAGTAAGGCATTAACAGAGGTTTGTGATGTTAGTTAGTCTCATTGTTTTCTTAATTCTTAAGCATATTTACAGTGATATGGCTGGTTTCACAGATTCTGCTGGTTATTTTTCATGATTTAAATTTACCCCTACGATCCAGATGACAAGACTGTCACATCATGAAAAAATCTGGCTTTAGGGACAGGTGATGTAAACATGCCATCACAGAAAAATCTGGCCATGGGCTGGGCTAACACAAACTTGCCATCGTGAGCATTTTGGTTGAGGGCCGCGGTGAAGACTGGGAGTGCACGAAACTTTTAGAGGATGATTAGATTCATTTGGCATTTAGGAAAAGGCTTTTGTATTAATTCCACTGATGAATGAGTGAGGAATGCATTGTCCGTGAGCCATAGCTGGAAGAGACCAGCTTCAGTGAGGATGCAGGTTGTATTACAGAAAATTGAATATTACAAAAAGATTTTTAAAATGACACAATTACCAAATTGTTACTTATTGTTATTATTCTTGCACCATGTTATGGACTATCTAGAGAGATAATATAGAGTCTATGCAAGGAACACAGTCTATTACCATCTGGATAAAGCAAATCAAATGATAAATATAATCCCTAATGGAAGGCAAAAAAAAGCTAAAAAGACTTATGAAGAAAAAGAAAAATTAACATTGCAAAGGAGAGGTTCGTCTTGTCACTGCACACACTCGTCAGTGGCCAATCAAGTGACTGAATTTTGGGCCACGTGATGGCAGTGAAGCATCTGGATCCTATGGTTAATAACATATAATTGGGCAAATGTCTACAGTTAAGTAAATGGGAAGATTACAAGAGATAATAAACATCTGACTACATACCTCCTTCATGTCATAGCATTTAGAAAATTCCCAAGAAAAAATCACATCAGTAAACAAACTATAAAGATGCAAATTGCCATGCCACACTACCAGATTCCATTTTCAAGAGTGGTCAAAAACGTTCAGATGTTGCTTAGCAATTTACATTAATGCAAGATCTACACTATGGCTGTGAGGCTGGAATACCTACAATTGCTGAACCTGGTTGTGTATATATCATTCATGCATATGTATTCTCTCTCTCCTTTACAAAAATAATATACACCAGGGGATTTGGCAGCACTTCAAGACATGGAAAAAAAGTACGCACTATATCATGTGTCACAGAAAGGAACATAGCCTAACCCAGTTCAAGACTCCTTAAAAACTGACATAACCTCTACGTGTGCCAAGCTCAATAACCCGAGCATCAAGCATGACTAGTGCCACAAGTCACTACCTCAAAGTAAAGCATGTCTTCTGCATATGGACTGTGACTCCTTTCCAAGTAAGCCATAATTAATGTTATTACCTTAACATTGTCTCAGGCAGAAATATCTGATATATCATAATGGTTGTTTATGCATTGGCCTTTCATATAGTGCCTATGAGGTTGTCCCTACTTCTGTAAATATAAAAAGAAATATGCTATCGTAAATGTAACAACCATGGCATAACTCAGAATGTCAAAATTTAAAATGGCAATTCTATCTTAATTATATGCTGCTTATTTACCATGTATATCAAAAGAATGCCAATTCAAATAGGGCTAAGGTGGAAAATCCACCTGTTCATATTATACAGTCTTCGTAGAGCTTAACCCCTACATAAACATCATGGGAAAATTGGCTATGAACTGATGCGATGCGAACTTGCCATTATGAGCATTTTGGCTGAAGGCTTGCGGGACGGGAAAGACTTGCCACAAGTGCACAAAGCTCTTGGAGGATGACTAGACTTATTTGGCATTTAGGAAGGGACATTTGCATTATTTCTATCAATAAACTAGAAGAGCATTGGCTCCTGGAACGACACTATTTCCATGCTCAGGATCCTATTCCTGGCTGCTGTGACCGGCATAATAAATGCCACTTATTGTTACCATTCTTGCACCAAGTTTTGCACTACCTAGAGAGATGATATGGAGTGAGCAAGGAAAACCATATATTACTATCTGGATAAAGTAAATCAAATGACAAATATGGACATTGGAAATTGGCAAAAAAACTAAAAACATTACAAAAGGGAGACACATGAGTGTTTGCATGTACCCAGCCTGTGAGCTGCACACAAACTGGAGTGGCCAATCAAGTAAGCCTAATGCCTGTACTTTGGCCCTGTGATGGCATCAAGATCCAATGGGTTAATATAAACATTAGCCCTAAATGAAATGGTGCATTCTAAATCTGTATCAATGGAAAACAAATAGATATGAAAATAATAAACTTAAGAGCAAGACAGACATGTGATGACCTTGTGCTGAGTGAGAGCAGAAGAAATTCTGCATTTGGCCATTTATTTTCTCTGCAATAAGTAAAATGAAGCCAAACACAAAAAGTTTACAAGGACAAATACTAAATCTGTGCAGAATAAAGAACATTGGCAAGTATCAAATATTTACAGAAAAAGTTTCTATAATTGGCATCATCCCATTTTGAGATCATAGTAATCTTGTTGACTGAGAACACCTGGATGTCCATGATTACTTCAAACGTCACTGATCGCTTTATAAACCTTTATAATCATCTTCGATGTTCTTTATAAAATTCATACTTTTTATGGGAATTTTTACTTACAGAAGTGATTCTGTATCTAAAATAAATACATTTATACTGATAAATATCTATATACAAATATATCCGTAAATATAAGATTTACGACAATCTCCAGTTCCACTGACCTTTAAGCAGCCTTCAAGCTTGTTTTAAAAGTTTCTAGGCTCCAGCTATCAGAACCAAACAAACAGACTATAATATCTCTGTCTACCTTCTACATATCATTTAACCTCTATCCAATGTTCTGAACAAAGCTTTGATATCAATAGATTAAAAGATGTCTGTCTTCAGCAAATTAAAATTCTCTTAGTTTCTTCTACTTTCCATAAACTATCTGCCTTCAAACACTGCTATGAGAAATTAATTCCTTTTTTTCCTTTCAGTGATAAACAAAAGAACTCTGTTATCAACCCTTCTTATCTATAGAACCTTATCTCTAAACAATATAAGATTAATGGATTCATCTGTTCCTTCCTATGATAAAAAAAAAACAAAAAAAAAAACAGATCAACTTCCTCTAAATACATTCAAATGTACACCAGAAATCCTGTCTTTCTCTCTTTTCTATTAAACATTAACTTCAATGTTGTAAGAAACACTAATCAACCTTTTCTTTCATTCATAAATAAATCAAAATTCTCCAAGTCATCTACCTTAAAAAATATATACAAATTTCCAAAACAGTTCCTGAGTTAGTCTAAACAAGCATGCTCCCTTCTACAAACCTGTACTTCTAAGTCACAATAAATAAATCTCCAGCTTCTTATACCCTGGATTTCTTACCTCTCTGCCTGTATGTGGTTGTTATGCAGTGCACTCTGCCAGAGCTTTGTGATGTCCTCCGCTTCCTCGGGAGAGAGTTCCTCCTTGACCTGAACGAACATCATGAGGGTGCGGCCTTTCTTGCTCATCTTCAGCAACTTCTCGGGGTCTCCCATGTTGCTCGGGTCAAAGTTCATCTTGGGGGGAGATCGCAGATGTTCTGGCAGCTCATCCTCTGGGAGTGGCTCTTCATCTTCCTGAAATTAATCATAATTTTATTCACATAATCGGTTAGGCCTTTTTCACAGTCTCTATCCCTCTACAAAGCATTAGCATTCTGGAGAAAGATACGTCTTAATATCTATTCTAATTTTACCAAGTTAAAAAGGCCTTTGAACTAACATTCTTAACTTGGGATTTGCTCAACATAATATGGCTCTAATGAAAATCTCTGCAAACCAGAAAAGAGCTTGATGTTTGGGTCTCACACTCTTCTATATTTATAAATCTTCAAAAGTATATATAAGCAATGTCATATTTCTATAAGGTTATAAAAGATGTGCCTAAAAAATGACTGTGATGTTTTGAAGACTCACAATGTAGATTTTGACCTGTACATTAATTTCCAAAATGCACTTGTATAATGTGTTAATCCAAATTTGAGAAGTGAAAATTGTTACATAGGTAATGGTATCTTTTTATATATCTCTATTTTTATGTATCTCTAGCAATTGTTTTATTCTTTCTTATTTCAAATCTGTGTGTGGCTTTCCATTACAGCAAAAATTATCCCAAACATCCAATTTTTTTGCACACAAATTATTGCAACTTTTACCACTTTACTCATTATTCTATCACCTATCATAAGTGCATTTCATTACATACACATTTTTAATATATTTTTCTTCTGGTGTACTTTCCCATTTATCCAAGTTAAGCTTTCTTATACAGAACTGTGTGTATACGGTCAATGATTAATAATCTGCACATGAATATTGAAAGTATTTCCTTGAACTACTGATATTCAAATACCATACAATTGTATACAGTTGTAAATTCCTTGTTCTACTACTAAAAGGAAGGGGGGGGAGGGGGGAGGGGGGAGGGGGGGGAGGGAGGGAGGGAGGGAGGGAGGGAGAGAGAGAGAGAGAGAGAGAGAGAGAGAGAGAGAGAGAGAGAGAGAGAGAGAGAGAGAGAGAGAGAGAGAGAGAGAGAGGAGAGGAGAGAGAGAGGAGAGAGAGAGAGAGAGAGAGAGAGAGAGAGAGAGAGAGAGAGAGAGAGAGAGAGAGAGAGAGAGAGGGAGGGAGGGAGAGAGAGAGAGAGAGAGAGAGAGAGAGAGAGAGAGGGAGGGAGGGAGGGAGGGAGGGAGGGAGGGAGGGAGGGAGGGAGGGAGAGAGAGAGAGAGAGAGAGAGAGAACTAGCTAGCTAACCTGAATTTACTTTTTTCCTTTACTACACATATAGTTTAATCTAGAAATGAGACAATATTAATATATAATTGAACCCCTATCCATTTTTTTCTGATAGCGCTTCTCTAATTTTAAACAAATCTTGCACTCACTCCTGTCACAAACAAAGCACAACTATGACATTAGCTCCAACAGCTGAGGAGGACATGATCTATATCATGGAAATTACGAGATAAAAGCAAAAGATCAAAGTAAACCTTTCAGTTATATTATTGCAATGCACATTCTTATTAATTTGGAGGCTTCATCCCCTATACTCCCATTTACAGGGGGCTGCTACCCCCCTACCCCCTGCCTGGAGAAATCTAAAGTGTCAGATGACACTGTCGTGTTCTTCAGTAACAGTGTTAGGTGTCATTTTCAATAATACCAAAATAATTCTACCAAACCAAACATGACATTATTGATTAAGGGGTTAATGACCCAATCAAATCCCTTAGCATCCTAGGGAATGAGAACTTTTGCCAAAACCCTAGCATTTAAACTATGCAAAAAAAAAGTCTTTTCAAAAGGCAGGGATCCACTAAGTTAGGGCAAATTGTAGATGATATTCATATTAACCCCTTAATGCCGGGTGATGCCTATCGGCGTGAAAGTAAACCGCTCAAAAGCTGGCGTGCGGCTGTACGCCGCGGCGGTGCGCCAAAGCGCGACAAGCCAGTGATTTGGGCTGATGTACCCTACTCACGCGCTCAAAGTTGACACACGGCCTTTGTTTGCCAGAGCGTAGAGTTTTTTTTCTGTCTTGTACACCCAGCGCCATTGGGTTAACCCAATGGTGACGGGAATTCGGTACATCAGGCCTAATCACCAGCTCGTTGCACTTTGGCATGCCGCCGCCACGTACAGCCGCACACCATATTTTGAGCGGTTTGTTTTCACGCCTATCCATGAAAGGGTTAAAGACTAAAAGTTGTAGTCCTCGATACAAGATATATTCTGCAGACACGAACGGTAATGGCACAAGTAGAGAAAGAAGTTCGCGGAAAGTATCGCTCTCAGTCCACTCAGTGCTCAAAAGTATCACCTCTCCCTTGCCATGCATACGGAGGTGAAGATAATGTTAGGCATGGGGGTGTTGGGGGCACGCACAAAGCACCATAAATTGTTAAAAAAAATTGGAACATGGAACTAGGATGAGTGCGTCCCTATCTCCCTCCACCACACGCACGTTCATCTCAAACACTAAACTACTTATAAAAAATAATAATAAAAAAGAAATAACCACAAAATTTCCGTCTCTCGAGCCACACTCTCTGGTCACTTACTTCCCACTGATCTAAGAGTCTCTCTAAATCGGCGTCTGTGTAATCCCGGATATCTTTCTTGGCCCAGGCTGGTTTATCTTCTCCGGTGTGCTTCTTACAGACCGAAAAAGAGAGAATTAAGAGGAAAATACAGAGACCGAGGTCTATTTTCCGGGCCATTGTGGGAGGTTTGTTTACGCCGGGTGTTATTGTCACCGAGAAGTTTCTGAGAATGTCATATTTATATATTTTTTCTCTCTGTTTGTTGCAGGTTTTGCTGGTTTTCTCAAAAAAAAAATATATAATAAGTTTGTTTTTTATCTGCTGGGTATTTGGTGCTTTGTGAACTTTAAGCCTTTCAGCAAGGAGTTATTTTCAAATTTATGTACTTTAGGAATTTTTTGGCATTCCCGTAATATTCCCACTTCTATTTATAGTGATGCAGAGGAAATTATCTTTGTGACTTTTTGTGTAATAGGACTATTCAATGATGATTTTGAAAAAAAAAGTTTAGTGGGATGTC